TTCTTCCTCCTCCTCCTCCTCCTCCTCCTCCTCCTCCTCCTCCTCCTCCTCCTCCTCCTCCTCCTCCTCCTCCTCCTCCTCCTCCCCGTGCTAAGCGCTGACCTGCGCGCGGCGCACAGGCCCCAGACAAATATGGCGGCTACAGTCACCACGGTCGCGTCATCCCGATCTCCGAGTATCACAGGACGAACAGGCGGGACGGCCTTGCGGAGGCGGTGATGGTCGAGTACTCGCAGATGCCCCCCGTAAGTTGCGTTCCCCCTCCCCGCCCACATTCTCCGTGTCAGCGCTGTCGCTAACGTTCTGCACGTAGATTCGCCAGGGTCTGCACAACCTGAATCATAGGCTCGTTGCGCTCCACCACTTCCAGGGAAATGCGTACTGGGCCGAGCTTGCGGATGCCGATGGGAGCGTTTCGGATTCTGTGGTGCCCCCGTAGCCTCCAAGTTAAACGCTCTGCCGTTCTTTGCTCTTCTCCTGTTCGCTCGTATCGTACCTTCGCTGCTGTAAGTTGTATTGTTATGCCATGTCATGTCAACTTATGTATCACTCAATCTATCGCTGTCCTGTTACACTCGCGGTCTGCTTTCGGTCGTCCAGTCCGCCTTGCGACCGTGGAAGCACGAGTGATTAGGGCAGTATACTGCGCGAGCAACGTTCCCTTTTGCGAGTTCAAGCAGGTCGATGGGTGTCGGAGTCATTTGGATGAGGAGCAAGGGTCAGAGTGCGGTAAATGCAGCTATGACAGGCACCAGCTGCCGTAGCAAAGATGAGGTCATGTCCGCAAAGGGTCGCCGAAAATATGCACGGGTTTTCTATGAGGCTACGGTCGCTGCGAGTGACAAATTTACGAACGCTGGGGGGACGAGGCTGCCTAGAAGTGAGGGGTCACTGATTGCGCAGAGTGCTTTTACTGTCGGCGAAGTGTGGACAGTGCGCTAATGCCCATCATGATCACCTCGATCATCCCCCCCCAGGTGAGCAGCACCCTTCAGATCTGGAAATCCGTGTGGCAAGTACGGTCCCAAGCGCGAGGTCCGACACCAATCATGAATGACAGCTGTTATATACTGCAAGCGCACGGCCTGCGCGAGCTACGCAACCGGAGACGCTCGTGACGCGCCGCCGCGCGTGCCGAGTCTGAGTCTTGTCTTCAACTCCCAGCTGTCACTCGGTTTCACAGTCTAGGTCCGATAAATTCGCACTTTAGCTGACTGGCAGCACAGCGTTGCCAGTTGTGTGCCTAGGCCGTGGTCTGTCTTCGAACGACGGTGCGGCAGTGTGTCGATATTTGACATAGGGAAGTTTTGTTTGTTTGAGTCCGAGGGCAGCTAACCCTGACGGATGACATATGTTGTGAGCCTACACCCAGTTGACATACGTGTAGGGCGATAAGACTCAAGAGGCATGTGTCAACCCGAGGGGCTGGATGCGAAGGTACATACTTTGCATAGTCCCAGGGCAGGACGGTGGCGTGTACCCAAGCTGACCCACCAATCGTTATTCTTAAACGCGTAGTCCCTCAGAAGGATGAAACAGGGTCCTAGCGCAATGCCAGCTGAAAGAGCGGCTTTTATACGTCTTCACGCTTTGTCTGTCCACTCAAGCGGCCGCTCCGTCCATGGTAATAGTGTGAGGTATCCGGCGCTCTACGAGCTCGCGTTGTCGATTGGGTGTCGATAGTCAAGCGAGAGAGAGAGTGAGAGCGGAGATACACACGAGAGCGTCGAGACGCGAGATGAGTAGTAGTGTCTCGAATTCTCGAACAGCTGGGGCTTTCCCCGAGTAGGTACAGGGTTATTTATACTAGTGTAGGATAATATTAAGTAAGCTGAAAAGAGAGAGAGAAAATGAGATGTATCAACGGGGTTACGAGCCGACTACGGTAGGATCTAATGTAATCAGTGCCTCAGTGGGGAAAAGACTAAGTATTGTATAACTAGGTACCTAATGTAATCTACATGGCGAGGACATGGTCAGTACATATGGGCATACAGCATAGAATATCTAGAGGGCTCACCAGTGCCTCAGTGGGGAAAAGACTGAGGCACTGGTCGACACGAACGTCGGTATAAGTGAGCGACGGGGAGCGCCCGCGACTGATGGTGGCGGGCGATAAGCTCGCCATGTGGGCGCAGGCGCTCAGGTACGAAACCCAACGTTCTCGAGACTTCGTCGGCGCTTGCACGCCAACACTCCCCCTCAAGCCTGACGAAGGCCGAGAGCGAAAGCGAGCATCTTGACCCGGGGACGAGGGAGCGCCTTCGTGAGCAAGTCGGCCACCAT